ATACTTTTCGCAAGAAGGTTCACTGGTTTATTGCAACAATATTGCTGAATTAATATCAATGCTAGGAGCTGCCGTTTATGAACCAAGTGAGTGGCGATTGTTCATTGATTCCTCCAAAAGAAGTATAAAAGGTGTTATTCTTCTCATATATATGCATCTGTTCCCATTGTTCATTCGGGTTACTTGAAGGAAATGTACGAAAATATCGAAATTCTTCTTAATAAGGTCAAATACAAAGAACATGGTTGGCTACTTTGTGGAGATTTAAAGTCCTTTGTATGTTGTTGGGTCAACAATATGGTTATACAAAGTTTCCATGTTTTTTGTGTGATTGGGACAGCAGAGCACAAAATCAGCACTGGATAAAGAAGCAATGGCCATGCAGAGTCAGCCTGATACCAGAATCAAAAACTTTGAACGTGAAAGTTCGGTTGACACAAAGAAAGTCCTATTACCTCCACTTCACATAAATACTGGGCTTGAGGAAGCAGTTTGTAAAGACCTTCGACTGTTTCAAGTATCTTTGAATGTTGATGTTCCACCTTCCTTGATTCCTCCTTTCCATTTTCCTGATGTCTTGGTGAAACCTTTCCCATTGTTCTTCGCTGATGGCATCGAGATTTTCAGTGAATAGCCAATATATATATGAGTGTAAGAAATGAACTTTCAAGCTCATATTACAACCCAACTCTGAATTTATCGAGCATGTTATTGACAATATTTTCGTCATTTGAGTCGTTGTAGTTTCCTAAAAATCTGTCAATAACATCTTTAAAGGTAATCCACGCTTTTTTTTAATTTTCCCATTGTCCTCTCAAACTGTTAATCCGAAGTCAATTTTCTAACCTGAGGCCCAACAAAAATCTCTTCTTTAAGTTTCGCTTCTGAAAGAACTGGGAATTAATAGCTGATTACTGCTGGTCATTGAAACGAAACGCTCCAGACGCAATGCATAAAAGAAAGACCACAAGACGTAGATTTCACACACACACACACACAAAACAACAACAAAAAATCAGGATGAATGAGGATGCATATTCGTTTGCCATTAATGTTCTTCCCTTTTCTTCAGTTTTTTTTTTGTATTTTTGTTAACAAACATAATAATAAAAAATGTTCATTGTGGAAGCGAAATAATGATTTGATTTAAGTAAGAGTTTTCTTCCCGATTTGTAAAAAAATCCTTAGATGATAGAAACAAAATGATTATTATTTTTCGAAATTTGCGTAGTTGAATGGAAAATCCGTTATTAAAACCAAAACAACTTTTATGAAGTTTAACTTCGCAATCCTGTGTAATCAAGGTGTTTAAATAGTCACTAATTAACACAAACCTGCCAAATATAGTTGAATTATTAAGAAACAAGTTAGTTTAACTTATAATCGATTTAATTAAGCACGCACGCGAACAGAATGGAGACATTTTATTTCACATGAAATAGTTAAATATACACTGGAGTGATGTTATTAGTTCTATGAGAAAACAGCTTGTAAAATATGATATTCGATTCCTATATTTTGCCAGCATACCCGATAATTTCTCTTTGATATCAAATAAATTATTCAAAGATTATTATTTCCGTAAAAAAAAAGAGTTACATAGTCCTCTGTAAACAGTCATTGTATTAAAAGTAAATCCACTAAAACATGAGTTACTTGATGAAATAATTAATTACATTGATTATCATTACGCTTTGCCGGACAAGCACTGACGAAACCAGGAGTAAATTAGTTTTATGCAACTCATTATTCTAAATATTTCATTTTTTTAAAAAGAATCAAACCTTTTGACGATAAATCTTGTAGGAAGATTATCTTAGATCTAACATTGCTTAAAACATAGTTCGAGTCATTATTTGTTTATTTTAAAGCACAAAGCTACACAGTGGGTTATTTGTGCTCTGCCCCCCGAGGGTATTATCCAAAACGCCTCCCAGTGGCACAGCGGTATGTCTGCGGACTCACAACGCTAGAAACCGGGTTTCGATACCCGTGGTGGGCAGAGCACAGATAGCTCATTATGTAGCTTTGTGCATAACTACAAACAAACAAACAATTATCCAAAACAGATGTTTAGCTTTCTAAACCCTCAGAGCCATCACTGAGCCACCGCGGATGGGGAGGGGACAGAAGTTTTTAAAGTAGCAAAAGTGGTTTATTCCTAAAATTATTATTACTTTCATTGTTTTATTGTTTAGAAATTAATAATATTCTTTGAAAATATGTTTTCTATTTTTTATGGAAGTATTAGGAATAAAAATTAGAAATACCTATACTGAACTGTATTTAAGAGAGAGTATGTAACTCTGAAATGGTAATGCATCAGCAAGGTCTTTGAGTCTTTTTGACAAAAGACATGACCATTCGTTTATAAGTATGGTATGAAGGAAGTAGGAATCTACTGCAAAGTCTGCCTTTAATATTGAGCCAAAAGCTTAATAACGCCAAGATCGGGAACTTGGGCAGGTGGAGTAGATGGCCGAAGTCATTTTCATATTCCACAAATCATTCTTTCTTTCCCAAAGCGATGAGATTATATTATTGTCCTGGAGCCAGCTATTCTCATCTTTATAGTTAATTAAAGTGCATTATAGATAACAAACTATCATCAACAATTCCTAAATAATGATATTCTTCAGAATAATTATTAGATTAAGTGCACACCAAAAACACAGTCCATGTTGTAATCATCATGACAGTCGGAACCAAGCAGTTATGGCGGTATTCCTTCTTGGGCTTCCGCCATGCATAAACATGCATTCGACGAGAAAAAGAGCAAATGATGATTCATCTACCCTCAATATATAAATGTTCATTAATCCTGCGTCAAAATCTTATGGTTACGTTCATTGATGGATGTAACAGGTGGTTCATGGATTGTTTCTCGGCCATTATATTCCAATTAGTGAAGTTCCCAACAAACTTTTCTCAATGTTACAGGTTAGCGTTTGATTTTCTTTGTTAATGTTCTTGCACCTATGTTTGCAGTCCATGATTTTGAAGTGATATACTAGAGGGAAGGCAGCTAGTCATCACCACCCACTGGAAACTTTTGGGCTACTCTTTTATCAACGAATAGTGGGATTGAATTGACCGTACATTATAACGTCCTCACGGCTGAAAGGGCGGGCATGTTTGGTGGAACCCGCGACCCGCAGATTGTGAGTAGAGCTCCCTAATCACCTGACCATGCCGGGCCAATGTGTGAAGATACGTAAATATGCCATTTCGTTTACTTTATCCTTGCAAACTTGGCATAGTGTTTGATCAAATTTTCTTCCGCAGTTAGTTATGTTGCTTTAGTCTTCATATTTTTTATACAACAATTTGTGCTACTTAACGACCCCACCACACTTTAAACCCTTCTCAACCCTTCTGTTGTTTTAGTGATTGAGCTTTAATGAGTACCCCTAAAAATGTGATGATTTTGAAGTTTTGGATGTAAAGACATCAATCCAAAGAGCTCTGTTATGCGTCTCTGGAAGTACAGTTACACACTTATACAACACTGAGTGCGTGCGTCTTCAGCAACACACTTTCATAATGAATTAGTTAATCACTGGAAGCACAGTTCCCTAAAACTATAGGGGTGGTAGAATGTTTGTTTGTTTGTTATGAATTTCGCGCAAAGCTACACGAGGGCTATCTGCGCTAGCCGTCCCTAATTTAGCAG